GGTTTTGGGGTCCGGGGCTGTTTTTGGGATTCCCTGAGGGTTTTTTGGGGTCCCAGGGCGATTTTTGGGGTCCCTGGCCGGGATTTTTGGGGTTTCTGGGCTGTTTTGGGGGTCCTGGGCGTTTTTTGGGGTCCGGGCTGAGTTTTTGGGGTTCGAGTTGAGTTTTTGGGGTCTGGGGGGTTTTTTGGGGTCCGGGTTCAGTTTTTGGGATTCCCTGAGGTTTTTTGGGGTCCGGGTTGATTTTTTGGGGTCTGGGTTGAGTTTTTGGGGTCCGGGTTGAGTTTTTGGGGTCCCGGGGCGGTTTTTGGGGTCCCGGGTTGAGTTTTTGGGATTCCCTGACGTTTTTTGGGGTCCGGGTTGATTTTTTGGGGTCTGGGTTGAGTTTTTGGGGTCCGGGTTGATTTTTTGGGGTCCCAGGGCAGTTTTTGGGGTCCAGGTTGATTTTTTGGGGTCTGGGGCGGTTTTTGGGGTCCCGGGGCAGTTTTTGGGGTCCGGGTTGAGTTTTTGGGGTCCGGGGCGGTTTTTGGGGTCCCGGGGCAGTTTTTGGGGTCCCGGGTTGATTTTTTGGGGTCCGGGGCGGTTTTTGGGGTGCCCCTGAGCCCCGCCCCCCCCAGGCTGACCGAGGAGAGCCGCCGGATTTTTGGGGAGCTCGGCAGCGCCGTGGCCAAAGATTTGGGGTTCAGGGACAGTTGGGTCTTCCTGGGGGCCAAGGGGGTGCAGGACCGGAGCCCCTTCGAGCAGGTGAGAAATTTGGGGGGATTTGGGGAAATTTGGAGAATTTTTTGTCGGGGGCATTTGGGGGCTTTAAAGGGGATTTTGGGGGGGTTTGGGGGAATTTTGGAGGGGATTTTAGGGAATTTTGGGGGGATTTTGGAGAGGTTAAAGGGGATTTTGGGGGGTTTGGGGGGGTTTGGGGAATTTTCGGTATTTTGGGGGGATTTTGCAGGATTTTTTGGGAATTTTGGGTGATTGGGATATTGAGGGATTTGGGGAATTTTGGGGGATTTTGAGGCGATTTTGGGGGGGATTTTGGGGTGATTTTGGGAGGAATTTTGGGGTGATTTTGGGGCATTTTGTGGTGATTTTGGGGTGAATTTTGAGTTGATTTTGGGGTGATTTTTGGGTGGATTTTGGGGTGATTTTGAGGTGATTACGGGGTGACTTTGGGGTGATTTTTGGGTGGATTTTGGGGTGATTTTGAGGTGATTTTGGTGTGGATTTTCGGGTGATTTTGGGGTGGATTTTGGGGAATTTTGGGGTGGATTTCGGGGTGATTTTGGGGTGGATTTTGGGTTGATTTTGGGGTGGATTTTGGGGTGATTTTGAGGTGATTTTGGGGTGATTTTGGGGGATTTTGGGGTGATTTTGGGGTGATTTTGGGGTGATTTCGAGGGATTTTGGGGTGGATTTTGGGGGATTTTGGGGTGGATTTTGGGGTGATTTTGGGGTGGATTTTGAGGTGATTTTGGGGTAGATTTTGGGGTGGATTTTGGGGTGATTTTGGGGTGATTTTGGAG